CAATAAAATATATTTTAAAAAATTATGTCAAAATAGTTTATATACTATAGTGTTATATAATTAAAACACCCGTGCGATAGGCGCCAGCGAGAGCTTTATATGTATCACATGCGCAAAAGTCTACCTTTATTTTTAAGCTGTCAGTGTGCCCGACCAGCTGGTCTGTCACTTAGCCTTTTACATATATATATAGAATCACTATTATCAGTTTACTCAGTCCCATCACCATTTCTGTTTGAGTATTTTCCAGTATTTTTATGAATATAGGTATTCGTTTGAGTTTTATAAACCTCTACTTACTTTAAAGATATGGCCTGTTCAGAAACCTCTAATTTACAGTAAGTCCAACTCAATTATGTTTAACCTATATAAGTATTTCATCTCTTTAGACCAATAAAATATCAACTATTGCCACCCAAAGCCAGAAAACACACCACACATAACACATAGACAATCCATTCTACACATACAGTAAAAACTTTTACAATGAAAATGACACAATGCTAAACAGATACAAATAAATGGAGACATTTCTTAATATGTCCAACTGTCTACACAGTAGATTACCTACGGAAATTCCAAGGCAATTTTGGCTGTAATTTAATAAACAACACTAGAATTCATATGGAACCAAGCAAAAGAGATGTGGGACAGCCAAACACTTCAAATGTAGGAAAGCTGGAAGATTCACTTTTTTACACTGGAAAACATTTTACAAAGAACAAGCAACCAAGTGGGTGTGATCCTGGATTAACACAGACCCATACACCAATGGAACGAGGGGAATGCCCTCACATAAACCCTGATGAAGCCTCGCCTGCATCCAACAGGAGCCTTTTCTGTGGCAGAGGATACAATCCACAGGGGCAAATGCAACCTCCAGCAATGATGTGGTAAAAGTGATCTCCAACTCCCCGACATTCCTGTGGATTTCCTCCATAAAACTGATAATGGAATGAAACCCTCTCCAGCAGTGATGTCTGTTTGTCCACATCCCTCTCCATTCTCAGTGGTGAAGGTATTGAAGTCAGGGACTCACACATTCAGCTACAAATATTTATTATGAAAACACTCAGAAAGATTTCCATGTGTGTTGGAAACTGACAATTGCAAAGGGTAATGTCAGGAGCTAATTTGCCCCCACCCTCTCCCAGGTCATGCAGGGAGATGTTGGTAGTGAGGCTGAAGCAACTCTGCAGGAACTGGACCTCAGCGAGGGGCAGGAGGTGGAGAGGGGCTTGAACCCAGTAACATGACTGTAATTAGAATTCATGTAAGCACTTTCATTAAACAAAAATTGCAATCATCTGTGTGAGGATGAAGAAACAAAATTCTCCCTGGGTAGACAGGTAATTTCATACTGACACCAGCAGCCTTTCTTGCTTCCTTACTCATTCCCCAGGGTGACCAAGACTCAACAGCATTGCGTTCCAGTCTTTCAGAGGGACATGACCTGGGATATGAGATTTGGATGACTAAGACATGTGAGCATTTAGGGTAATAGCACTGCTTAAAAATAAACCTTTTAAAGAACATTGTGATAAACTGCATTAGTAAGACAAATGTTGTGCCCAACACTTAACCTTAAATACTGTTTTTTCACTACACACCTTCTATTATTTCATGAAGCATTTTAATGTGACACCTATTCCAAAATTAAACACATCAAAATATTGCTGACTTAGCTCAGAAAGACATTGAGCTATCCTTTCTTTTGAAATATATTTTATTGATTTTTTTCAGAAAGGGAGAAGAATAGAGAGTTAGAAACATCAATGGGAGAGAAACATTGATCAGCTGCTTCCTGCAAACCCCCTACTGGGGATGTGCCTGCAACCAAGGTACATGCCCTTGACCCGAATCGAACCTGGGACCCTTCAGTCCGCAAGCCGGCGCTCTATCCATGGAGCCAAACCGGTTAGGGCGAGCTATCCTTTCTTGATAATATTGTCCAAATGAAACTTCAAGCACATATAGGCTGGTTATTCTATCTCCTTCTTTTATAAGAACCCCACTTCTAACAGATTAGTACCCCACTCTTGTGACCTCATATAACCTTAATGACCTCCTTAAATACCCTATCTCCAAATAGACATATTGGGGGTTAGGGCTTCAAAGTATCCATTTTGAGGAGACACAATTCAGTCCTAAACACTCAGCATCTCAAGTTCATTATGTTATATAAACCACCCCAAAACTGATTCCCTTAATGCAATAATTCAATATTTCTTTTTTTAAAAATATATTTTGTTGATTTTTTACAGAGAGGAAGGGAGAGGGATAGAGAGTTAGAAACATCAATGAGAGAGAAACATCGATCAGCTGCCTACTGCACATTCCCCACAGGGGATGTGCCCACAACCGAGGTACATGCCCTTGACCGGAATCGAACCTGGGACCTTTCAGTCTGCAGGCCGACGCTCTATCCACTGAGCCAAACCGGTTACGGCTCAATATTTCTTATGAGTCTATGGGTTGGCCAGGTGGTTCTGCTTCATGTGGTATAGGAAGGCAAATGTTGGTAGTGAGGTTGAAGCAACTGTGTAGGAACTGGGACCTTTAATTTAGATCAACTTTTCCCTAAACCAAAACATGATTTCCCACGCTTCCAGACTTCAATCCTAGTTCCTTCAATTCTAGTTCCCTCGCATGTACCTGTCCACTAAATCTCCTTCCAGCCTCTATTCACTAGCCAGTCCCAAGGCCATGTCACACACATTAGGTTTTTATTATTGAGCACCTCAAACTTCGTCTCTTCTCTTTCAACTAGTCTTTTTAAAATATATATATATATATTTTATTAATTTTAGAAAGGAAAAGAGAGGGGGAGAAACATCAATGATGAGAATCATTGATTGACTGCTTCCTGCACATCCCCCACTGGGGATCGAGCCCGCAACCCAGGCATGTGCTCCTGGCCGGAATCAAACCTTGGACCCCTCAGTCTGCAGGCAGACGCTCTATCCATTGAGCCAAACCACCTAGGGCTTTCAACTAGTCTTTGTCATAGAATAAAAAATCCCTAAGTTTAATAGCTTATATCATCCAAAATTAATCTTTTCACATAATTCTGTGGTGGCTGAGCCCTTCTCTGCTGCTTTCTCTTAGGCGCATACACCCAGGTGTATCCAGCTGGCAGGGCAACTCTCTGGGGCTGCAGGGAGCTGGGAAATTTTTCTTTGAAACAATTTTTTTAACATATTTTTAGAGTGAAATTATAAAGGAAGGAACAAATAGAAACATCTACAGTGGGGCCTTGACTTACGAGTGTCCCAACTAATGAGTTTTTTTGAGATACTAGCCGTCTTTCGGACGATTTTTGGCTTTGAGTTGCAAGCTCAAAAAAATTCGGGTTACGAGCCAGCTTCAGATACCCCACTGCTAGTTGGCGCAGCGAACGTCACAGTGATTTGACATACGAGTAATTTGAGTTATGAGCGCCGTCACGGAACGAATTAAACTCGTAAGTCAAGGCCCCACTGTATGTGCAAGACATTTATTGGTTGCCTCCCGAACATCCCCTGAGCAGACCAGGAATCACACTCCCAATCTGGGTCTTTGTGCACTATGAACCAAACCTGCAACTTTTTAAAAAATATATAAACGTATTTTATTGATATTTTTACAGAGAAGAAGGGAGAGGGATAGAGAGTTAGAAACATCAATGAGAGAGAAACATTGATCAGCTGCCTCCTGCACACCCTCTACTGGGGATGTGCCCACAACTAAGGTACATGCCCCTGACTGGAATCGAACCAGGGACCTTTCAGTCCGCAGGCCAACACTCTATCTACTGAGCCAAACCAGTTAGGGCAAACCTGCAACTTTTTATATTTTTTTTGAGTCAGAAGAAAGGAGAGGGAGAGATAGAAACATCAATGATGAGAGAGACTAGTTGATCACCCCCAACTGAGGATCATGGCCGCAACCTGGGCATGTGCCCTTGGCTGGGATTGAACCCAGGACCCTTCAGTCTGCAGGCCGATATTCTATCCACTGAGCCAAATCACCTAGGGCACGAGCATGAATTTTCTTATGGCGAGTAAGTTTTCTCGACTCCCTGAAGTCTTTGCCGCATTCATTACATTTAAAAGGCTTCTCTCCAGTATGAATTCTCTGATGGTTTATACAGCCCGAGTAATGCCAAAAGGCTTTGCCACATTCATTACATTTATAAGGTTTCTCTCCTGTATGAACTCTCTGATGTTTATTAAAGGTTGAGGACTGACTAAAGGCTTTGCCACATTCATTACATTTATAAGGCTTCTCTCCAGTATGAACTCTCTGATGTTCAGTAAGGGTTGAGGCCTTGCTTAAAACTTTTCCACATTCTCTACATTTATAAGGCCACTCTTCAGTATGAACTCTCTGATGAGAAGTAAGGGATGAAGAGTAGCTAAATGCTTTGTCACATTCTCTACATTTATAAGGCTTATGTCCAGTATGAACTCTCTCATGTCGCTTAAGGCCTGAGGTCTCACTGAACGCTCTCCCACATTCTCTACATTTATGAGGCTTCTCTCCAGTATGAACTCTCTGATGCTTAATAAGGCCTGAGGAGCATCCAAAGGCTTTGCCACATTCCCTACATTTATAAGGCTTCTCTCCAGTGTGAACTCTCTGATGCAGAGTAAGTTGTGGGGATGACCCAAAGGATTTGCCACATTCTGCACATTTATAAGGCTTCTCTCCAGTATGAATACGCTGGTGACGATTACGGTGTGAGGAGTGATTAAAGGCTTTGCCACATACTTTACATTTGTAAGTCTTCTCTCCAGTATGAAATTTCTGATTTAGAGTACAACCTGAAGGCCAATTAGATGTTTTACTAGAAGCTTTACATTCATAAGGTTCTTCTCCACTATGGATTTCTTTCAGTTTACTTGGATTGAATATTTGACTGGAGATTCTACCACAGGCATTCCCTTTGTAAGCCTCCTCCCCAGCATGAATACCCTCTTGTTTGGTGTAACTTGAAGATTCCTGAAAAGATTCCTCACATTTACTTTCTTTGAGTATCATCTCCACAATAGGAATAACTTGATGTATATTGTGATTGGACATTTGGTCAAAGAGTTTTTCACTTTCATAATGATCCTCTGCAAGCTCACTTCTCCAATGATTATTATGATATGGCTCTTGCTTAATGGTTTTCCAATATGCATTCCATTGATAACTTCTGTCTTCAGTATATGTACCCTGGTGATAATAAGAGATAGAAAGGCTTTCAGTGACAGTAATAATTTAATTAAACGTGTACACTTGTTTTATAAGAACCATTTTGTGATACTCATTAAACCAAGATGGTTGTGTAAAAAAAGCATCCCCAATCTATAAAAATTATAAACAAAAAATAAAATGTTTAATTGTCAGAGGAATAATAATGAATCCTTGTTTAAAAGATTGCCAAAATGCCTGGAAGGCGTGGCTAAGTGTTTGAGTGAAGATGTATAAACAAGGAGGTTAGGGATTGAGTCCTGGTCAGGACACATGCCTGAGTTGTGGGCTTGAACCCCAGTGAGGGGTGTGCAGGAGGCAGCCAATCAATGATTCTCAACATTGATGTTCTTCTCATTCTCCCTTCCTCTCTGAAATAAAAAATGTATTTAAAAAAAATAAAAATATATTGTAAAATTGAGCACATTTAAATTGCATAAGTACATTATAAATCTCAAAATTTTAGAAAGGATTGACTGAACAATTAATTCCACCACACACTTTAAACAATTAAATGATTATTCATAACACAGACTTGAGTTTTTTTCAGATTTCCTTTCCAAGGACACACAATAGTAAAAAGTCGTTTTCTACCTTCATGTGCAGAAACACACTGATCTGCCAATGTAACTGACTTTAAAGTGGCACGTTTCTCAAATGCATAATACCCTTGACCTCTTTTGGTAACAATAATTTTATTATTAATAATGATTACGGGTTAGTTCTATTTATATTAATACTAGAGGCCCGGTGCACAAAATTTGTGCATTCAGGGCGGTCCTCTCAGCCTGGCCTGTGCCTTCTCCAGTCCAGAGCCCTCGGGGGATGTCCAACTCCCACGGCAGAGGTGGGAGAGGCTCCAGCCACTGCCACTGCACTCGCCAGCCATGAGCCTGGCTTCTGGCTGAGCGGTGCTTCCCATGTGGGAGCGTTCTGACCACCAGGGGGCAGTTCCTATGTTGAGTGTCTGCCCCCTGGTGGTCGGTGCATGCCATAGGGAGCAGTTGAGCAGCTTTAGCATATCAATAGCATATTTTGCTTTGATTGGTTGAACAGACGCCTAGACAACCAGATACTTAGCATATCAGGCTTTTATTATATAGGATTCTCTCTTCTCATCAACTTTCTCAAATTCCAAGTCTCTCAAGTGTACATTATCAAAGCCACTACCTTTTATATCTTACCAGTATTATTTCAGAGCATACATCTTGTGGTTCGGGCTTTGGCAAAAAGGCCTGTTCATCTTCAGATGACATAGCTGAAAGAAATAAATTTTCAGTTTTGAAAATCAGGTGATTATACTTTCAACTTACTAGCAAGTGTTGAGCAAATGACAGTTTTGAGTACTCCAAATGCAAGTGAAGGATTCAAAAAAAGCTCAAGATAGGTACAATGAGGAAAAGTCATATCAAAGTGGGACAAAGAGGTGCTTACTTTTGCCAATGATACCTGCTTAATTAACCCCCCTGGCACACAATGGCAACATTATAAAAATACTCCCACCTCCCAGTTTCTTCGTTGGAGAGAGAGATGAGGGAAGTGCATGTTCAATGATCTCCCTGTTTTGAAGCATCTTGAAGAACATGTGTCTGTTGTGCATGACACAGAGTGCGAACAGAATGGCAGTACACGGTGAGTGCACTGTAGTGGCTGCTACAAAGAAACAATGAGAAAGTGTTCAAGTACCACAAAGACTGTGGTACTAAAGATGTACATCAAGCCTGAAAAGATACCACGGGCCTGAGAAAGAAACAGAGAACATTTCCAACTGGGAAATTAAACAGACAACCGAACCAAGAATAAAGATCCTGAAAATAGTGTTGAATGAAATTAGAATTTGTTCCACAGACGGTTATTATTTGTTTCCTCCTACAGAAAACATGTTCAAAAGCCTGCTTGTTTACAATTCCTAAATCTCAACAAAAGATATCAAGTCATGCAAAGAAACAGAAAGTGCCCCATCAGAAACACAAAATATATGTAATCAAAGTGGCACTACATCAATGAAAATATATTAATTAAATGAAAAAAAGGGAAAGTAAGTATCTTAAAAACAAAATGTAGAAAAAAATGACGAGTCTCCCAGCCGCCCCGGTGGTGCTCTGAAAATCTCGCGAGATCCTACCCGCTTCCCATAACTCCGTGCGCTCGCCCCTCCAGTTCTCTTTCCGCCATCGGTCCGTGCGGCCATCATGGTGCGCAAGAATGTCCTGGCTGATGCTCTGAAGAGTATCAACAATGCCGAAAAGAGAGGCAAGCGCCAGGTTCTCATCCGGCCGTGCTCCAAAGTCATCGTCCAGTTTCTGACCGTGATGATGAAGCATGGTGACATTGGCGAATTTGAAATTATTGATGACCACAGAGCTGGGAAGATTGTTGTGAACCTCACAGGCAGGTTGAACAAGTGTGGAGTAATCAGCCCCAGATTTGATGTGCAACTAAAAGATCTAGAAAAATGGCAGAACAACTTGCTTCCGTCCCGCCAATTTGGTTTCATTGTACTGACAACCTCAGCGGGCATCATGGACCATGAAGAAGCAAGACGAAAACACACAGGAGGGAAAATCCTGGGATTCTTTTTCTAGGGATGTGATACATATATGGAAATAAAATGCCTCAAAGGACAAAAAAAGAAAAAAAAAAGAAAAAAAAAAAGAAAAAAATGACTACTGTATAACATCAGGAAAACGTTATGACCAAAATAAAAATACAATGAGAAAGTATATTTTAAGAAACCACTCTGGCCAAAACTGGTTTGGCTCAGTGGATAGAGTGTCGGCCTGTGGACTGAAAGGTCCCAGGTTCGATTCCAGTCAAGGGCATGTACCTGGGTTGCAGGCACATCCCCAGTAGGAGATGTGCAGGAGGCAGCTGATCGATGTTTCTCTCTCATCGATGTTTCTATCTCTCTCCCTTCCTCTCTTTAAAAAATCAATAAAATATATTTAAAAAAAAAACTCCGAAGTGGGAAATTAAAAAACTCAATACCCGAATGAAAAAATACAGTAGAGAAAAGGCAAGTTCCTGGTGCAAAGGTTGCTCTGCAGCATAATTGAGGCCTCAGAGGAGCTGTAGTGGTCGCAATCTCCCAGATGGGTTTTCCCGATGCCGCCAGAACTCATCAAATTGAGGCTGCTCCAACCAGAGCTGCAGTTGAAGGGTTAAAGGCAAATCTTGTTTTTAAGGAAACTGAGAAGGAGCTAGAAGAGGCAGAGGAACAGTTGTGACATTTTTGCCTTCAAGGTGAAGGATGGCCCTGGGGTAAAGAAGCCACCTGGGTGGATATGAAGACTGGCAAAGAATTAGTGCTTCCTGGCTCAGATAAGGCTGACTGCCCAATTACAACAGCTGACTTGGACTTGATGGCTTTAATGACACATAAAATGAATACTCAGTGGGCCTTCTTTCAAGGCAAATTGAAAATCACTGGCAACATGGGTCTCACTATGAAGTTACAAAATCTTCAGCTCCAGCTGGGCAAAGCTGAGCGGTGAAGAACATCCTGTGCCTACCTTTGAAAATCAAGATGAGACTTAGAGACATATACCATATATTTAACTGTCAGAACTTACACTGAAACCATGCACTGGGATTTGTTTTTAAATGGGTGCGACCAATCCTATTTCTCCTAAGCTCTGGGTAAACAGAGCCTGATGGTATACTACTGCTTTCCTGAATTGCATACAACCATGCATTACAAAGGTTATATGGTAATTATGGTTTGGGAGTAAAATTGAGTTCCAGAATTAAATTAAGAACAGCAAAATCTAAAAACTATGTAAACAAAAGCTCTCATTTTGCATATGAAGTACATTTGAGGATTATTCAGCTGAAGATTCAATTGAAGTTTTCCTTGGGAGAACCAAGGGAGAAACAAAATACCAGAAGCTGGCCAGAAATCAGTGTTGTGCACTTAATGACTTTGTTTTAAATTAATAGTTTTTAAAATTCTATACTGGGATTAAAACAATTAAAATTTTTGCATTTTGTGCAATCAGAATGGTATTTTCTTCCCGAATCTGAATAAAAGAAGTATCAGAGCTTGCGGGGGGGATACAGGCTTATTTTTAAAGTAAAAATATTTTTAAATTAGTTTCATACTCAAAAAATCAGTATCATTAAGTTATTTTAATGATAAAATTTGCTTTAATATGCAGTTTATTATTTTTTAAAATATATTTTATTGATTTTTTACAGAGAGGAAGGGAGAGGGATAGAGAGTTAGAAACATTGATGAGAGAGAAACATCGATCAGCTGCCTCCTGCACACTCCCCATAGGATGTGCCCGCAACCAAGGTAAATGCCTTTGACCAAAATCGAACCCGGGACCCTTGAGTCCGCAGGCCAATGCTCTATCCACTGAGCCAAACGAGTTAGGGCTTCAATATGCAGTTTAAAAATTATCTCCTATCCTACCTAATAAAAAAGTAATATACAAATTAGCCGTCACTCCATGACAAAGATGGCGGTGGCTGGGCCAGGGCACCGCGTTGTTGTTGCCATAGTGACGACGAAGGCATTCTGCCCCAACCCACTGGCGGAGGGCCTCTGGACCTGCTTGGCCACTGCTGCCACCAGGGCAGGGGAGCAGAGACACAAGCCTTCAAGGGGGCCCAGCACCCAGCAGCTCTAAGCCCCGTGGCCGCAGAGGTGCTGGGGCTGGAGGAGCAGAGACACAGCCCACAGGGGGGCCAGCACCCAGCAGCCCCAAGCCCCGCCTGGGATCTGCGGTCAGAGGAGCAAAGTCACTGCCCGCAAGGGGGCCTGGCAGCCGGCAGCCCCAAGCCCCACCTCAGCGCTGGGGTCAGAGGAGCAGAGACACAGCCCGCAGGAGGGCCAACACCCAGCAGCCCCAAGCCCCGTGGCCGCAGAGGCGCTGGGGCCACTGGGGCTGCAGCAGAGACACAAACCCAATGGAAACCTGTGGAAAGGGAGATAACCTTTCACAACTTTATCTCCCTTTCCACAAGATGGGAAAACTGACCCTGATTTATTTAGTGATATGGCCCACACCTTTCTACAAGCACAGGGTATGTTATGACCACTCCCAGGAAGGTCTGGTCAGAATACTGTCTCCAGGGAATAACGCTACTGTGGCAAATCATCTAAGAGAGGAAACAAGCTTTTGTTGGGTTTATTCTGAAGGTCAGAGAACAGACCACCTCAACATATGCCATGTTGTTATATTGATGATCTTGAGGTGCAGATGCTTAAAAAAACAGCAAATGCAAGGAGAGGCTATAACTTAAGTCTCCTGATCTGCCTAAAATCGGACCCCCCAAAAGTTTCCCTCGATGGGAAAAGTGCCATCAGCCAGTGAAGACTGACTCCTGTCACAGGACAGGAGACTAGAAGTTGACATCACACCCAAACTTTGTTACAAACTATCTCCCCCTCCCCCATTCATCTTTCCTAAAAATCATGTACTCTCTAAGAGGCCTACATATCCCGTCCCCTTTCCCTAGGAAGAAGGTATTTAAATCTGGATTCTAAGCTACCTTGGGGAGTTACTCATTTTTCCCTGGGATCTCCCACATATACACGAGGTATACCTGTTAATGAACTTTTCTTTTTCTCTTGGTAATCTGTCTTTCATTACGAGGGCCTCCGCTAAGAACTCAAAAGGGAATTCCGGTAGAGGGTATGTACCTTGGTTGTAGGCACATCCCCAGTAAGGGAGTGTGCAGAAGGCAGCTGATCGATGTTTCTCTCTCATCGACGTTTCTAACTCTCTATCCCTCTCCCTTCCTCTCTGTAAAACATCAATAAAATATATTTGCCCTGGTCAATTTGGCTCAGTGGATAGAGTGTAGACCTGAGGACTGAAGGGTCCCAGGTTCAATTCCGGCCAAGGGCAGATGTCCTGGTTGCGGGCTCGATCCCCAGTCGGGGGCGTGCAGGAGGCAGCCAATTAATGATTCTTTCTCATCATTGTTGTTTCTATCTCTCCCTCTTTCTTCCTCTCTGAAATCAATAAAGAAATGTATTTAAAAAAAAAAAACTCAGAAGGGTAGAGGAAAACTATTTTTTCTCTTCCATAATTCTATCTTGGGAAATCAAGTCCCGGGCTGAATAGTGAGTTTGGCTCAAATGCCAAGCAGTCCCCGCTGAGGGGAGGGAGGCTTCTAGGGGGAAATCAATGATATTGGCATCAAAGTAGGACAGAGGGCATACGCATGGTTGCTGGTGGGAATTTAAAGTGGTACAACATTTTTGGAGGATGATTTGGCAAAATTGATAGAAATGTTCAAGGTACATCCAAGAGTCTTCTAGGAATCTCATCTGCTGAGATAAAGCACGAGTGCATAAGCCCTGGTCAGAACCCAGGATAATACTGCGGGCTCCCCTTCCATGACAGGAAAACCTGCTAACAACCTGGATTTTTGGGACAAGGTGGCATCTACACTAATAAGCAGGTAATATGCTAATTAGACTGAACATCTTCCTGACGACCTTCCGGACATCCTTCTAGACAAAGCCATGATGGCAGGGCTGAGGCACAGGCGGTTAGAGGTGATCAGGCAGGCAGGGGAGAGCAGTTAGGAGGATCAGGCTGGCAGGGGAGAGCAGTTAGGGCAGCGGTTCTCAACCTGTGGGTTGCGACCCCTTTGGAGGTCGAACGACCCTTTCACAGGGATCGCCTAAGACCATCAGAAAGCACATATATAATTACACTAGAGGCCTGGTGGACAAAAATTTGTGCACTCCACGGGGTGTCCCTCAGCTCAGCCTGTGCCCTCTTGCAGTCTGGGAGCCCTGGGGGGGATGACCACCTGCTGGCTTAAGCCTGCTCCCTGGGGGATTGGGCCTAAGCTGGCAATCAGACATCCCTCTGGCAGCCCCAGAGCCCTCAGGAAATGTCCACTAGCCAGCGGGGAACAGGCCTAAGCTGCAGTCTGACATCCTTAGTGCTGCTGAGGAGGCGGGAGAGGCTCCCACCACCACCGCTGTACTGGCAGCCATCAGCCTGGCTTGTGGCTGAGCAAAGCTCCCCCTGTGAGATTCTTAAGACACTAATAAATCAAACTCCAAGGGTACCCCATAAAGACAGAACAGTGAAAAAGAGGAGGTAACTTAGCTAAAACAATACGAAAATATCATGAATCACAGAATACTATCCTAAAGGCATGTGAAAAATAAATTCTCATTGAAAAGACAGCCCTTCTAATATTACTTGGGGTTAATAAACAGAAAACTATTGGGGTGAAAGTGGCACAAAATAAAACACTGAACTGATAAAGGAACAAAAACCATTCAAAAAGAACACTGACAAAACACATCAACAACAATGGAGAGGGAAAAAAACTTTTGCCAACTCCAAAATTTTCTCAAGTCAATGATTTGAAATACAAAGAAGCAAAAAACACCCAACCGGAAAAGCAAAATGAAAAAAGGATCCAAAAATACGAAGATAGTGTAAGGAGCCTCTGGGACAGCTTCAAGCATACCAACATACGAATTATAGGGGTGCCAGAAGAAGAGAGAGAGCAAGATATTGAAAACCTATTTGAAGAAATAATGACAGAAAACTTCCCCTACCTGGTGAAAGAAATAGACTTACAAGTACAGGAAGCACAGAGAACCCCAAACAAAAGGAATCCAAAGAGGACCACACCAAGACACATCATAATTAAAATGCCAAGAGCAAACGACAAAGAGAGAATCTTAAAAGCAGCAAGAGAAAGACAGTCAGTTACCTACAAGGGAGTACCCATACGACTGACTGTCAGCTGATTTCTCAACAGAAACTTTGCAGGCCAGAAGGGAGTGGCAAGAAATATTCAAAGTGATGAATGCCAAGAACCTACAACCAAGATTACTTTATCCAGCAAAGCTATCATTCAGAATTGAAGGTCTGATAAAGAGCTTCACAGATAAGAAAAAGCTAAAGGAGTTCATCACCACTAAACCAGTATTATATGAAATGCTGAAAGGTATCCTTTAAGAAGAGGAAGAAGAAGAAAAAGGTAAAGATACAAATTATGAACAACAAATACACATCTATCAACAAGTGAATCTGAAAATAAAGTGAATAATCTGATGTACAGAATGAACTGATGATTATAATAGAATCAGGGGCATAGAAAGGGAATGGACTGACTATTCATGGGGGGGAAAGGGGTGAGAGGGTGCGGAAAGAGACTGGACAAAAATCGTGCACCTATGGATGAGGACAGTGGGTGGGGAGTGAGGGCAGAGGGTGGGGTGGGAACTGGGTGGAGGGGAGTTATGGGGGGAAAAAACAGGAACAAATGTAATAATCTGAACAATAAAGATTTAACTAATCAAAAAAAAAAAGAAAGAAAAATCCTTCTGGAGGTAATTTTAAATGTCTACACAACACTAACATATGAACATAGAAACATTCCTTGTATGTGAAAAAAGACACAGAAATATTAAATTTTGTGGTGTTTTAATAATGAAACAAATATCACTTTGATTTCTCTTTTAGAACTTTAGAAAATAAACGGGATAGTCCAACAGCTGTAGCTCAGTGGTGGATGGTTGACATGGTTCCATTTCCAGTCAAGGTGCACGCCTATGTTGAGGGCTCGATCCCCAGTGAGGGGCATGCAGGAGCCAGCCAATCAATAATTCTCTCTTGCCCTGATCGTTTTGGCTCAGTGGATAGAGTGTTGGCCTGCAGACTGAAGGGTCCCAGGTTTGATTCCGGTCAAGGGCATGTACCTCGGTTTCAGGCACATCTCCAGTAGGGAGTTTGCAGGAGGCAGCTGATCAATGTTTCTCCCTCATTGATGTTTCCAGCTCTCTATCCCTCTCCCTTCTTCTCTGTAAAAAATCAATAAAATATATTTTAAAAAATAATAATTCTCTCTCATCATTGATATTTCTAAATCTCTCCACATCTCCTTCTTCTCTGAAATCAACAAAAATATATCATTAAAAAGAAATTAAAAGTATAAGGAATAAAATCTTATATCTCTGCTATAAGACACACAATGTATACCTGGTAAGATAATGTCATATCAATAACTTAAATGGGTACACAGGTACAGAGGCAAGTAGCAGAGTTTTCCTATGCAACTGACACACTGAGTTGAAAGTATATTGTTATAACCTTAAAATATATTTTTTTAAATTTTTTTTATTGATTTCATGGAGGAAGTAGAGGGAGAGATAGAAACATCGATGAGAGAGAATCATTGGTTGGCTGCCTCCTGCATGCCCCTCACTGGGAATGCAGCATGCAACCCGGCATGTGCCCTTGACTGGAATCAAACCCGGTACCCTTCAGTTTGCAGACTGACGCTCCATCCATTGAGCAAAACCAGCTAGAGCCTTAAAATATTTTAAGTAGCTCCCATCATCACAAGAAAAATAAAAAATAATAAAATGATCACATTAAGAAGTGACAGAATTGTGTATTGCAAATCACAGTGAATTTGATTGGAATCGAAAAATCCAATGAATTTCTCAAAACACAATATATAAGACCAAGTCACAAAGTTAGCTGTGTCCCTGTACAGGAACAGAAATTAATACAAAATAACAAATTAAGTGTGTAATTACATAAATAATAGCATAAAGAAAAAGAAAAGAAAATACTGCTGGCGGCCATCCTAATTCTAGGTATATATCGGAAAATATTCACAAAAGATCTGAAAAAGCCATTTACACATTTGTGTCCATTATAATGTTATTCACAAGAGGCTGCAACAGATGGGAGCAACTCAAATGTCCATGGATAGTAGAGTGAATAAAGAAAATTTACCATATATGTGTAATGGGATGTCTTTCTGCAATAAGATAAAAATAGAACCCTGACCAGTTTGGCTCAGTGGATAGAGCATCGGCCTGTGGACTGAAGAGTCCTGGGTTCGATTCCGGTCAAGGGCATGTACCTTGGTTGCAGGCACATCCCCAGTGGGGGGTGTGTAGGAGGCGGCTGATCGATGTTTCTCTCTCATTGATGTTTCTCTCTCATCGATGTTTCTGGCTCTCTGTCCCTCTCCCTTCCTCTCTGTATAAAAAAATCAATATATTTAAAAAATAAAGTAAAATAAAATAAAATAAAAACAGATATTGTCACCTGATACCACAAAGAGAAACGTTCATGACAATTTTTAAGTGAAGCACACAAGTCACAAAGAGACAGATAATACAGGATTTCCCTCAGGTGAGTAATCAAATGTAGTCCACGTTATATAAAAAAAAAAAAAAATGGTAGTTATGGGCCGTACTTTTAAAGCAAATGAGGAATAGTGGTTTAATACATAATGAGACATTTCTATAAGATGGAAGTTTTAGGAGATCAGATACACAATACAGACAGTAAGAATCTACCCTAGAAAGCAGGTCCTAGAGATGTTAAAATAATAAAGGAAACAAAACCCTGCGCGTGGTGTAGGAACTCAGGAAGGAAGTCATCCTCACCCACGGAGACCAGGTTGCTGTAGTTCTCTAACATCACATCCAGGTACAATTTCCTCTGATCTGGGTCCAGGCATTCCCACTCCTCCTGAGAGAAATCTATGGCCACATCCCTGAAGGTCAGCAGTCCCTGAAAGAAAAGACACATTTACTAAGAGGTCACCAGAAGAGTTCATAATGTCACATCTAACATGAACACAGTGTTAGAAGAGGTTTGGACCTAGGGGAGTATCCTGAATCATCCAATAAGATCACTTTGGAGAAGCATCGAACTGACTGTCAAAGTACAGCAGGAAGGCTGGGGAGTGATGGGGGGCAGTGGTAAGACATCAACCGAAGGACTTGAATGCATGCATATAAGCATAGCCAATGGACACAAGACACTGGGGTGGGGGTGGGGGTGGGGGTGGTGGTGAGGGCATGTTCCAGTGGGTAGGGAAGGCCAAGGGATGGTCAATGGGGGAAAAAAGGAGACATATGTACTACTATTCATAATACTTTAAACAATAAAAAATTTTAAAAAATAAAAATAAAAAGATCACTTTGCTCCAGTAACATTCTCTGACGTGACAAATGAGGATGACACAGGCCCACCAATCCATGGTATAGAATTTGCTTTTCAGTAAACAACTTTAAAATTAAAGCATGGACACAGGCATATGGGTTTCTGAGGGCTGTGTTTGCATCATTCAGGGTCAGTGGTGTATATTTCTCAACTGGAGATGTCATGGTGAGTCGGAAATATAAGCACTTCTTCAAGTGTAACATAAACGATTGAACTTTTCTAAAAATACAGATTCTGCTACATGTTCTGAGATGGGGCCTATGTTTCACATGTGTAAGAAGCTCACTTTTTACTTGTGATACCAATGTTACCACATCACATGTCTGAATACACAGAAAATGAAAACGCAGGAAAAAATTCACAAATAACTTTGAACTCAAGGGGTTTGTTAATGTAACTTGCAGTACTCATGGAATAAGAGCTACAATCCTATTTGAAATTTTACTATGAATAATCTTAGAGCAAGATTATTCTGCCTGGTCCGGAGGGTGTGCCTCAGCGGTTGACCATTGAGCCATTAACCAAGAGGTCACTAATCACGGCACATGCCTAGGCTGCAGGATAGGTCCTAGTGTGGGATGTGCAGAATGCAGCCAATCAATGATTCTCTCTCATCACTGATGTTACTACCTCTCTGTCTTTTGCTCTTCCTTTTGCAATCAGTAAAAATATACATCAAGAAGGAGAGAGGGCCCTGACCGGTTTGGCTCAGTGGATAGAGCGTCGGCCTGCAGACTGAAAGGTCCTAGGTTCGATTCCGGTCAAGGGCATGTACCTTGGTTGCGGGCACATCCCCAGTAGGAGAGGTGCAGGAGGCAGCTGATCGATGTTTCTCTCTCATCGGTGTTTCTAACTCTCTATCCCTCTCTCTTCCTCTCTGTAAAAAAATCAATAAAATATTTTTTAAATAAATAAATAAATAAAAAGAAGGAGAGAGGGAGCCCGAACCAGTTTGGCTCAGTGGATAGGGTGTCGGCCTGCGGACTGAAGAGTACCAGGTTGGATCGCGGTTAAGGGCATCTACCTTGGTTGCGGGCGCATCCCCACTGGGGTGTGTGCAGGAGGCAGCTGATCCATGTTTCTAACTCTCTATCGCTTTCCCTTCCTCTCTGTAATAAAATCAATAAAATATATTTTTTTTAAAAAAGGAGAGAGGGAAATATAAAACTGCTAACATTGACTATCATAAGAAATAAGGAAAGTTAAACAACCTGCAAGGCAAAATATCAGTAGTAGAGAAATATTCGAAGATGTTAGAGGAAAGCAAACATAGCCTCATCTTTTACCTGACAAGCAGCCATTTGGGTCCTGGTTACTGATGCTGGTCCTGGGATGTTTTCTCAAGTGACAACTGAGGAACCACAGAATGTGCCTTCAAAGGCATCCACACAGCCTGTTAATCAGCTCACCTCACACCCACAGTCAGAAGGACCTGGAAATGAGAAAAAGGCCACCCCATCCTACGTTTGTAACAGGAGAGAGTCAGGAACAATGAGATACTAATGTGAGGTGTTTTATTCTATCTTCATATGTCTGTCCTTCCAAAGACTTCTACAAACTCCTACAGCAATGAGAGAATGTGCTGATTTCCCCAAACACCAAACCAACAGAGCACTGCTTACCTATCCTGAAAAAAGCCTGCAGAGGCCCAAGCTATGCCATCTTTCTCCAGTTCACTCCTGAGGCCTGTAAGACTGCCTTAGAGCTGATTTCAGTAGCCCTGGGTAACAGACATAAGTCCCAGCACACCTGAGACCTCTGGGTAGTGTGATGGTGTCACAGCACACCTACTCGGAGTCCCTCTATTCTTCTGAATTCTGCTCAACCACACCATGTGTCAGAGTAGGTTCCATTTCTCCGGGAGTGCTTAGTGCTAAATCCTGCTCATAATTCTAATTGTGAGAGCAGGTTCCTCCTTGAACCCTGCTCGCTGTACTAACTGCTGGGAACTTACAGGTAGTCTAAGTTCCTCCTTTACCCTCAGCTCGAGTACACCAACTGTGGGGTTTGAGCTCCTCTGCCAGGGGCTGGACCTTCTTGAACACCAAATAGTAGAAGAAGAAGCCATGAGAAGTTGTGGGTATATAAGAGAGTCCTTATTATAGAAGCTAGTGGGCCTATAGGCACTGCGAACAACGAGCCATCAGACAAAACAGCTCTTCGTAACAGTCCTATAAAGGCAGCTGCACACCAGCTGATAAACAAATACATCTTTCCCACAAAGTAGCAGTAGCCTCTGTACCCACAGCCTGAAGCAGCAGCAGTATCCTCTGTGCCTACAGCTATCATCTGAGCAGCCACATTCTGCCTCTGAACTCACAGCCTCACATAGTAGCGGCACCTGAGCTCCCTGCATCTTCCCAGCCTCTTTTGCATGCTGGGTTCACAAGGTAGCTATATCTGAGCTCTCCATAAGCTCATAGCCTCACATCATAGCAGTACCGGCTCGCAGCTTCATCTGAGGTCTCTAGCCTTACTAATATACTTTAATACTAATTAGACAAAAGAGGCTTCCTGCCAACAGTGACATCAATCCTTTGGGTTATAGAAGGACACAGTTACCCTGGCTGGTTTGGCTCAGCGGATAGAGTATCGGCCTGCAGACTGAAAGGTCCCAAGTTCGATTCCGGTCAAGGGCATGTACCTTGGTTGCGGGCACATCCCCGGTGGAGAGTGTGCAGGAGGCAGCTGATCGATGTTTCTCTCTCATCAATGTTTCTAACTCTCTACCCCTCTCCCTTCCTCTAAGAAATCAATAAAATATATATTTTTTTTAAAAAAAAGGGCACAGCGTAGACTGCAGTGGCCTTGTATCTCTGTATAGTCCTTGATCAACCTGATTAACATTCCCATGCTCAGAGTGTCCTTGGCTGTCTGGCATATTACAGATGAGTCCTTCACACTCTAATTACCCTTGACTATCTGGTATCACTGACATGGTTCCCACAGATGACTGGAAGCAAGAAGTTTTACCAGTGCAGGTTTCCTAGGTAGATTTCCTTCCTCTTTTTCCAGGAAATTACAAATAGTAGATCTTCATACTAAAGTCTTTGGGAAATGTTAGATATTCAAATATGCTGATCAAGTGAATTCACCATGAATAGATGGGCTCTGTGAGAACCAAGTTTCAGGTCAATCCAGTCCATTCTTCAATATTTTCTGAGAATGGACAACAGGTACTTGAGGGGAATGGCTCTTTTGTGACTCATAGACACAAATTCAACAAATCACATAAAGGAAAAGAAGCAGCTACTGAACATTAAACCAACTCACAGAACTAGACTCTGACTGTTAAGATCATTGACATCCTTACCAGTGCACGCTGAGATAGCCTCATATTATTGACTAAGTGCCAATTAATGCATTGATGGATGATAAACAGTGGAAATGAAACAGGTCTCAGAATCTGAACTACACACAATATTTAAAACCAAAAACATCGCTGCTGGGCCTTTTGTCTAAGATCAAGTGTAGTATCTGTACTTATCAGTTTAATATGTGATATGTCCTCTATCCGAGGACATTATATTAAATGTATTTTTAGAGCAGGGAGATGGAACAGGATTTTGCTCCACCCAATCCATGCACCAAGCCGGTATTGAAGTATCTCTGGGAACAGTGCAAGAAAACAAACAAACAAAAACAATTAGGGTAGTTGTTTTTTTAATGTAATGATTTCTACATTTAAAGTTTTAAAAATGTGGAGACTACCTTATATAAGCAAAGAATGATAATAGCTGCTTGTGAGATGTCAGCAGTTAACGACTATTTACGTGAATGAAATGTCAGATAGAGAAAATCAAAGCCATGGCAGACAAAAAAAGATTGATCCTTCTAATATCTATATACTAGAGGCCCGGTGCACAAAAATTTGTGCACTGGGGGAGGGGGGGTCCCTCAGCCTGGCCTGGGCCCATTTGCAGTCCAGGACACCCTTGGGGGATGTCCACCTGTCGACTTAGGCCCACTCCCCGGGGGATCAGGCCTAAGCTTGCAGTCAGACATTCTTCTGGCAGCCAGGGAGATCTCGGGGGATGTCCGACTAAATGCCGGGGTCCAACCCCAGCAGGTCCAGGGGTTCCCAAAGGTGTAGACGGAGTCGGCAAAGAAGGAATGACACAGAGACAGCGTTCAGTTGATCAGCAGCCTAGCCAGGATCTCTAGCCAGGATCTCCAGCCAAGTTCTGGTCTGGATCTCCAGCGAAGTTCTGCTGTTTATTGTCTTGTTACATCCGTATTTATACCAGTTGATTTTAATCCTGTCAATTTCTATTACAAAGGTTAGGGTGTTTCTTATCTCCATTCCAGGGAGTAAAGATTATGTAGCTTAAGCATGATTGTTTGTAGTTAAAGTGATTAACTACCCGCCTGGCACTTAGTTAAGGAGTTTCATCCCCTCCCTAACTTCAGGGAAAAATCCCTACCTGGGGAAACAACCTTTCTCGGAGAGGTGACCTTGGTTAAAACACACAGCGCTAAGGGGAGCAAACATATTAAGAACAGTATGCTATATATGCCAGGTCCCTTGAAACATATGCTGTGCAGATGTTTCTATCCTGCAGCGACTGTGTCAAGCAGCAAGGATGGACCGGCTTCCGGCAACTAAAGGCTTAGGCCTCCCAAGAGATCGAGTTTAAACCGTTAGTTGGACATTCTTAGTGCTGCCAAGAAGGTGGGAGAGGTTCCTGCCACCACGTCTGCACTGGCCAGCCATAAGTCAGCTTTTGGCTGAGTGGCACTCCCCATATGGAAGTGCACTGACCACCAGGGGGCAGCTCCTGCACTAAGCGTCTGCCCCCTGGTGGCCAGTGCGCATCATAGCAACCGGTCATTCTGCTGTTCAGTCAATTTGCATATTAGCCTTTTATTATTATTATATAGGATTCCCTATTTCGCCCCTTTTGCCTCCTCTATCTGGCTCTCGCCCCCCACTTCTCTCTGGCCATTACCATACTGCTGTCTGTGTACATGGGTTGTGCATATATTTTCTTTGGCAAATCCCTTTAAATTCACTTCTTTAAATTTTTATTTTCAGATAAGTGCTTATAACTGAACGATTACATATTTTCTATTATATCATCTAGAATTAAGATATTTTTTAATTGCCAAACTGGTTGGGCTCAGTGGATAGAGCGTCGGCCTGCGACTGAAGGGTCCCAGGTTCGATTTTGGTCAAGGGCATGTACCTTGGTTGCGGGCACATCCCCAGTAGGGGCCATGCAAGAGGCGGCTGGTCGATGTTTCTCTCTCATCGATGTTTCTGACTCTCTATCTCTCTCCCTTCCTCTCTGTAAAAAATCAATAAAATATATTAAAAAAAAAAGATACTTTTTAATTGAACACTTGTAAATTTTAGCACAATTTAATAAATTATGCTAGAAGCAATTAGGAGATTTTTCATGTAATGCAGAAACATTTCAATTAATACTTTATTAATTTTTAATTTTTTAATATTTTAATTTGAAATAATTTCATACATGTAAAAAAACTATAAAATACTACAGCATATTATATGTGCCCTTCACCCAATTTCTTAGGTGTTAATAATTTATTTTATTTTATTATTATTTTTTAAAAATATATATTTTATTGATTTTTTACAGAGAGGAAGAGAGAGGGATAGAGAGCCAGAAACATCGATGAGAGAGAAACATCGATCAGCTGCCCCCTGCACACCCCCCACTGGGGATGTGCCCGCAACCAAGGCACATGCCCTCGACCAGAATCGAACACGGGACGCCCGAGTCCACAGGCCGACGCTCCATTCACAGAGCCAAACTGGCCAGGGCGGTGTTAATAATTTAAACATAACCATTCTACAACTAACAAAATTTGAAATATATTTTTCTTATAATCTCTTTAATGTTACTTAATCCATTTACTTTGTTTTTGTTAATCTTCACCCAAGGATATTTTTCCATTGAATTTTAGAGAGAGTGAAGGGAAAGGGAGACACACATTGATTGTTTCCCCCTGCACATGCTCTGATAGGGACTGGGGATAAAGCCAGCAACTGAGGTACATGCCCTTGACTGGAATCGAACCTGGGACCCTTCAGTCCACGGGCTAATGCTCTATCCCCTGAGCAAAACAGGCTGCAGCTTAATTCATTTACTTTTAATCTATATGTGTCTTCATATTTAAAGTGGATTTTGTTTTTGATTCACCCTCATAATGTCTTTTAATTGGTGCATTTATGCCACTGACTTTCAAAGTGCTTACTGATAGAGTTACTGTCATATCAGGTGGCTTCTGGGGTTTCTGGGACCGGCCTGCAGCCCAGGATTGGATCCGATCACGGGCGGCAGGCAGGCGGATTCTGGGGTCGCACACAGAGGCCTGGATCGCGGCTCGTGCTGTCCCACACTGCCTACAGTATGCAAATTAGCTGCCATCTTTGTTGGCGGTTAATTTGCATATAGCCCTGATTAC